TTTTTCTGGGCCCTGCTTCTGTCACAGTTTCATTTCAGCCTGTAGGCTTACTATCAAGGAAAATAATTTGTAAGTAACTATGTACATGCATGTAATGTATATAATTAAAAACAGCTGATAACATTTAATTTAGATAACCAAGCGATTATTACATCCTTCAATAAAGTATTCAGAGTCTCCTGTCACCCCAATAAATAAACGGACGATTTGCGGTGAACATTCCATTTTTGTTTTAAACCACGACATGACATAAGTTCCCCTTCTCCTCGACCGCACCCATCCATATTATGTAACTGATTATCTGGAAATTTTTTAATAGACCGACTGTTCGGGATTATTCTATTGTAATTATATCTTAGTAAAGAAAAAAAAACGCAACATTTGTGCAGATGCTGCCAAAATTTAAGAACAAGAGAGATAGGTAGTTGGATAAAAATCAAATTCCTGTTTTACGGAGAAAAATAAGAACAACAAAACAAAACAAAACAAAATATAGGATTCCCGTTATTCTCTGACAAAATTGAAGATTGCGTGATAAAAATGTTTACATCCCGCAGTCGACGCAGTCCTGGGGTGCACGATCCAAATTTGGAATGACAGGTTAACCAATCAGAAGCCGTTACACCTATCATTCCTAGCGCATTTCCGAATCCCGCTAAAATACTTCACAATTCAAGAGCGACGTTAAAAGTTTCTTTAAAAACCTAAGTGTATTGGGAATCTCTTTTGAAACCTTAGAACTATGGTAAGTTACAACTTTTAACTTAACGTTTCATCTATGATATGAATTTATGTAGCACTGATCATTTGCCAAAGTGAAAGATGAAGTTAATTTGCCTTCTGTACATTATAAATATTTAATATTGGTTCGCTTTTGATTTTCGAATTGGATGCCTTATTATTTAACTTTTGTGATCTTTGGGCGCGTCTAGAGTTCGGGTATTGTAACAGCCCATCTTGTGTTGAAGCAATTTGTGACGTATCTATTAAATGCATGAAGAATCCTCAGAGAGTTTCGTTTAGAAGCTGATTCCATGCGTGACCGATCATGGCTTCGAACATTCTAAATGATTTGAGAAGCATGCGTGCTGAACATACCCTCGCGTAGTTAAGTTAAACAAAAATGTTTTACACACGGTAGTCTTGAGTTATTTAACAGTTATCGGGGGGAATTTTAAATATTCTGTACATTGTTTTAGGTATATTTCATTTCCGAACATGCTAATGGCGCACGTAGTGTGAAATTTTGCTCGAGTGGTTGCTATCACAACCCCATATTGATTTCCCGCTGGCCAGGTTGTGCGGATGAGGGGGCGTCTACTTGGCGAGGGGGGGGGAGGGGGGGATTGTTAAAGAGATGTATTGCGTTTTATTCTTAAGCCACTGACTGGGCTGTAAGGGAAACCACATCCCACATCATGAAATTAATAAATTGATTGATTGATATTAGATTTTGTTAGACATTTAAGAATAAACACTAGCGAGAAAAACACATAACGTTTCGATGACTCCATGTCATCATTCTCAAGTGAGAAGGGAATAAAAATGAATAGTTAATTTATACCGTATGAAGGTGGCAAACGTAAAAAAGTTTAAAATATTTAAAATATTTAAATAAATAATTGCGCGTGTTGAGTTCATAAATGTAAACTATTAAATAAATAGTTTCGCGCGTATGGAATCCGATTGTTTGTTCAAAGAGGGATTCATCTTCTTTATGAAAAGCATTTCATGAACTAAACAGTCCAGTTTCCCGGTGCACTTTTTAAGTACGTTGAGATGCTTGGTCAGGTCGTCGACGGTTTGTAGGCCGTGGTCGTTCTTTAGATGTTTGCCGATGGCCGAATTACGGTGCTCATTAATACGTTGATGTAAATGCCGGCTGGTGTACCCGACGTACTCTGCCTCACACATATCACATTTATAATCATATACAATGCATTGTTGGCTAACTATAGGAGGTTTAGGCTCACGTAGCCAACTAATAATTCTAACTAAGGTTGGTGAAGATCTCAGAGTACGTGAGCCTAAACCTCCTACAGTTAGCCAACAATGCATTGTATATAATTATAAATGTGATCTGTGTGATGCATACGGTATAAATTAACTATTCATTTTTATTCCCTTCTCACTTGAGAATGATGACATGGAGTCATCGAAACGTTGTGTGTTTTTCTCGCTAGTGTTTATTCTTGATTGACTGATAACTAATCAAATGAGTGGTATTCTTTACAAATCAGAAAAAAAAAATATTGGAATTTTTAAAACAGAGGTTAATTGGAATCATTAATAGGGCATGGATGTTGTTGTGACAGAAGTGAGGGAGGGCAGTTTTCAATCCTCTACATTAACATTAAATATTTACCCTAAAAACGCTTTTTTGTGATTTCACTTCAAAAAGTTGTCTTGTATTGCTGGCTAACAACACATTCTCTTACTTGTATTCCTTGGGTTATAGAATCTAACTTAAAAAAAAGTTTTTCCCAAGAAAGCCAACTAATAATTCTAACTAAGGTTGGAGACCTTCACATCAAAGTTGACAATGTTTGTTTCAAGATCTTTTTCTTTATTTGCTGCTTCTTTTAACATAATTTTCTCTGACAACATTTTCAGGCTGACCAACTGACAGAAGAACAGATTGCTGGTAAGTTAGTTGTTTCCTTGAAATGATTATTGTAATAAATCAAACAAAAAAATATTGATAAAATAAAGCCATTTGTGATGTGATCAAATAAGTTGCACACAACTTCCTTGCTCTACTCTTACCTGTTTTACTCCCATGACCAAGACAGAATTTCTCCTAACAATCTCAATATGAAATCAAGCAGACAAGTGATAAGAATAAAGAAAAATACAAATTAAGGGATTGTTATCTGATCCAGTACCAAATTTTCCAAACTAGCATCGTAGCAATTGTAGGGCAGATAGTTAGAAGAATTAGTAATTAGATCTTGCCATTAAAAGGGTTCATCTTTCACACCTTGACTTGTTGAGTTGTCTGGATTCTTACCTACCACTTTCTCACCAATGCACTGCAGCTTAGAAAAGTGACAGAAAGAAGGGGCGGATCCAGGAATTTTTAATAGGGGGGGGGGGGTCCAAACTTTGGTTCAGAAAGGACTGTTGGACTCTTTTGAAGCAAATTACTTCTCCCCCACACCTCCTCCCACCTGTCGCGTTGCACGTCATAATTCCTTGGCCGCTTACCACTTACTTGGATTCAGTAATTTAAAAAATCAGCCAGTTAAAAAGTGATATACGATCCTGCTGATGTAAGAATTTCAGTCTCAAAGTTGTAAGCGTCAGGTCTGATAGGGGGGTCTGGACCCCCTGGATCTGCCACTGGAAAATAACTGTTGCTGACAAACCTCCTGTTTTTACAGAATTCAAAGAAGCATTCTCACTCTTTGACAAGGATGGAGATGGTACCATCACCACCAAAGAACTTGGAACAGTGATGAGATCTCTAGGACAAAACCCAACTGAAGCAGAACTTCAGGATATGATCAATGAAGTAGATGCAGATGGTATGCAAACTTAAAACTTGTCTGGCTATACTTCACTAAGTCAAAAGCTTA